ATAAAAATGTAAATGTCGGAAACACGTAAAATGTAGATTACATTTTAAATCATCACTATAAATTTGCCTTTGCATGTCATTTAATTTGCTTGAAATTTAGTATTATTAGGTACTTACTGCTAACAATATTGTTCTCCTTATCATAACGAACGTAACGTACTCTTCAATCATCTTCATTCTGCCATCTTCCACCAAAGCCAAAAAGTTTGGTAATCTATGGTCTATATGAATCGACGACGGTACCTACATACATTTGCATCATTGTTCTCTTGTGACAATACAGTCGATGTTTTCGGTTCCGTTTGAAAAGTTTATGGTGACCAAATTCACGTGAGAAGCTGGCCATCCCATTTTGTTAAAAAAAAAATTATACAAGAATAATTACGTATACTTACGATATACTAACACTTGCCGTAGAAAGAATCACTAAAAGCCGTTTTGGGGTGGCAGTGTGAAGTTGGCCACCCCAAAAAGTTTAAAAAAAATCATTGTTTCCCATATGATACTTACATCGAGAGAGGGAATAGTAACAATATACCAACTGCCTGTATAGGTTATTTCTGTGTGCAGTTTAGTGGGTGGCCAACTTCACAGGAATGACGTATCTTTCAATTTTTACGAAAACCAATTATTTACATCACAATCTAGAACAGTAAAGGGCTAGCACGACGGGACGCGACTTGCGCGAGAGCGACATACAGCGCGAGATCTCTATGCAAGGATAGCGGTATATCGCGCTTTATGTCGCTCTCGCTCAAGTCGCGCCGTACATTAAGTACAGCTGTACTTAATCTGCAGCCGGTCAAACTTTTATAGGCGATTCGAACCACTATTATCAGGAAGGTGCTGTTTAATACTATAGATTTCTATGTTTTTAAAATCTTAAGGTGAGATATATTTAGGTTTTGTGTTATATTTATTACATGGGTCAAACCAGGTCCCCTCGATCGCTAACTAATTTTGTAAAGGATGACCTAAAAATAAGGTCATCACCCAAAAATGTTGCCGCCTGGTGTAATATACGTGTCCCGAAGAAAAAAAAGGTTTAGCATATTGATCTAGAACAGGGTTTTTTCACCTGTGGTCCATGGACCCCTAAGGAGCACATGTAATGACCGCCGGAGGTCCTTGGCAAGCCTACCTAGCATAATGGAACAGCAATCGTCACACTAACTATTATATATGTAATTATGTAAAGTTTAATCGCAAACAATATAAGCTAGTAAAAGCTAAACGAAGTTTTTTCATCGTTTCGGAAAGGGTCCATCGACACTTTGATGTTTTCAGAGGGGTCCATGACTATGTTAAGAAACTCTGATCTAGAATATGAAATTCTGAGTAAAACTATGTAAATAATGTTTGCACGTCAAAATTGCATATATATATTAAGTTTTTTTTAAATAATATCAAGTGACGGGACGAACAAGTCGTGCACCTGATTGTAAACCTGTCCATAACATTTGCAGTGCATGTGCAGTGCAGTTGCACGAGTTTTAAATCGCAATGATCTGAGGGGCACTGCCACACCGCCCGTCACGCTGAGACAAAAGTTGACAAGTCCCATGCGCCTGTAATTTCACCAGCACCCTTACCCTTCAAAACCGGAACTCAGTAATGCTGACATTACTGCTTGGTGACAGAAATAGGTAAGGTGGCAGTACTTCCCTGGACGAACTCTTTTACAAGCTCTGCTGCCACTAAAGTTCATCACGGGAATATAAGGAACAAAAATAATCAACGAGTAAAAAAAAACTCCAAAAAGATTTCTTAAATACTTATTGCTGATGTGAACTATTATTCTTGCAAATTATTTTGTGGCGTCAATGGATACTTCCTGCACAAAAATAATTCCGGCACATATATACATTTTATTGCTTACTTGTGGATTGACACAAATAATGTTTTCTACTGACAACGTTATTTGTGTAAAATATTAATACTACCTCCTTAATTTCAAGAACATTGTAGCTTTTACAAAGTTAAACTATTTCTCAATAGCGTACTTTTACAAAATTAAGTACTTTCGCAAAATATTTTGGCGTACTTGTTCGGATTAGCTGTATCTCTGTAACGTAGTTTTACGAAATAAAGATATTTCTGTGAAGAAATTACTTATTATTTTGGCAAACTTAAGCTATTTATTTACTAACGTATTTTTACAAAATAAGGCTATTTCTCAATATAAATTACTTCCTTGTAAAAGTACGTTCGAATAAGCATACGTTTATTATCTAGTGACAATTATACTGGTGCCCAAGTAACAATAAATTTGGAAATCTAGTTTGTTAATTAAAAAAAGACGAACTTGGGGGTATTCAGTGCTAATGAACCTCGTAAGCGTTTACATAGCTACTGCATTATATGAATTTTAGTCCCAGATGTGTGCATTGAGCTGTGGAGAGCAGGTGTTAACAATTAACCCATCAACTGTGCGGTCATTGACCTAACTGGTATCGCTTACGTCTATCTAGTAAAGATACACTTTGCAGGCAAAAATTAATTTACATTTGATTAATTACTACTTCAAAAATAACATGGTATATATATTATTTATATCTATAAAAATGAAGTACCTTGGGTTTATTTTAATTTTTTTTTGACAGGCAGATGACTCCACCAATAGGCTAGCACGATAGGGTGCGACTTGCGCGACCGGTCCGTCTTTTTTGAAGACGGGAGTAAAATGACAGCTCATTGCGCGAAAGTGTTGCCCGCCTTCAAGCAACTAATGATAAATATTCTATGCAGTATATATAATCAGAGCTGTAAATCGCAAAGACCTGACATTGCCACTGCGCCCGTCACCCTGAGACGTAAGTTGGCAAGTCTCATGTGCCTGTAATTTCACCAGGAAAACCGCAACACAATGTGGACATTACCGCTTGGCGACAGAAGTAGGTTAAGGTGGTAATACTTCGCTGGACGAACACTTTCACAAGGAGATCTACTGCTACTAAAGGTCTACTGAAACTTGACGACGTACAATAAAACTACCGTGTTAGAACCCATTAATTGGTCTCAACGAGTTGTTAGCTTTACAGATGGTGGCTTTATTGACTTATTAAACGACTTCAAAAAGTTCTCAATTCGACTGTATTTTTTTTATGTATGTTACGCAATTACTCCGGTAAGGTACCTCAGTATTGGTGTCAGTTAAATTTGAAGAAAATATTCCACCTCCAAGGGTGGCAAACTATGGGATGAATCCGGTTTCGCGCACTTTCCGGCAACCGATTTCAATGAAACTTGGCAAACAGATGTAATTCCACGAACTTAGAGTACTTTGTACTGAGATTATTGGAGTACACAGTTTTGTATGTAGGTTCTGTACATGTATTTTAATTTCATAAAAATAAACTGGAACATTCTTAATACAATGCTTGATTTTTATTCTTTAGTCTGTTATTATAAGCAAAAAATGTTATAATATTGTTTTAATTCCGCGATTTATCATTTGACGTCAAGTTGTTGTATTAATTAAGTTTGTTGTTGTTTAAATACGATTATTCTAAGAAAGCAAGAACAATAGACGTGTCAGAATTAACGATATAAAGTAAAAGTATTTTTTGTATAAGAAAATGTTATAAATAAACAATAAGTGCAAAATATGCTGTCCCGCAGACATTGTTGACATGTGTTGTTTTCAATATGTTACATTGTTAAATGTTATATAAGTGGGTTTTTTTACAATTTAAGTAGCTGTACCAAGGAATCAAACGACAAGAAATTTTAGATTTTCGCGGTTATTTCATATTGAATATTAAACAATTTTTTCGGATCGAAGTGGCTATTTGTTTTTTTTTTGTGTCTTGATGGTCAGCAGGCGTGATCATTGGGGACCTGTAACGGGTCCGAAACTTTGGTGCGGTTGCAAAAACAAATAATACGCGATTTTGACCCGAAAAAATATTTGAAAACCACTGTTTGTTTTGTTACTAAAAAATAAGTGCGCGTCTAACCTATACGATAGAAAGTGACGATGAGGTCACACCTAAGTAATGCCTATTCACTCTCACCTTGAAAAGGCCCAAATTATAGAGGTTTATGGAATAGTTCTGCAGGCAGGGAATTCCACTCCTTAGCCGTTCGCCATATAAATGTAGAAGCGAAACGCTTCTTACGAATCCTTGGTTTGACTTACAGGAGACGAATAACAAACCAGTGGGATCTAATACTCAGAAACTTTTGCGTGAGTAGACGCAACAAGTGACGAAAGTTTTATCGCTATATGGAAGTCATATGGGACAAACATAAATTTTTATATACACATAGTATCAACTCAGTCAACTGTGACCATGGGACCTGTAAAGACCTTAAAAAAACACATATACGCGATTAAAATCCGGAAAAATAGTTTCATTACCTATGTGTAACAATCGCGAAAACCTAAGAACTCGTTATAAAAATAAACTTGTATGTTTTTTTTATACTATCTGAAATTTTTTAGATCTGTATTGGATAGTAGGTAAGTTCAAACCTGCACCCGTCCCCCCGCTCGTGCGTTTCGCATCGTAAGTGCCCAGTTACACGAAGCGAATGTTATCGCGCGGCCGCCGCGCGGCGATCGCCTAACTACCACGCCTTCATGTACATTAATTGCGAATCTAAATTCTATTTACTAGGCAACGACATTTAAATTCCTCTGAATAATACAATCGCGCGGCCGATGCGCGCGCCGCCGCGTTGATCAAATTCAAGCCAGACTCGCCCATTTAAGTTAAAACGTAAAAGCTAAAGGAATAGAGCGTATTTTGCCATGACAGTTAAGACGCACGCGGTCGTTGCGCGGCGGCAAATTGGACTCCGCTCTTCGTCCGCGCGGCGGCCGACCAAGCACGATAAAATTCGTGTAGAATAAATGCGCCCTAACGCTATATAAACATAAATTTATTTTTGAATAAAAGTAAAATCTAATGAATTATTAAAAGTCACGGAACAACAAGTTGTTGTTTAAGGTGTTAGTAAAAGTACAAAAAAATATATATGCGACAATCACTTACCTCCGGTACCCAGCACTTTGAGCAGGTCGAAATGTGATATGTCCACTTTTGATGGCCCGTTTAGGTTAACTGAAACAATTAATTGGATTTCATTTTCAATTGCCAATTAAATGCCAACTAGCTTATTATGGACCCTGAAATAATGGCGTTAGTTATATAGACTTTTCATACCAATGTTTGCGTAGATAGTAAAAGAACCTTTTAGAATTTACAAAGCACCGAGAGCTTAAATGCGATTGAGTCAACTTCATAAATTTAAAATTTTTATTTGATATTTTATTTATCAAAGTATAGAGTCTAACCGTCATTATACACAGAAAAAGTAACAAATTTTATTTGATTACATTTAAGTACTAACATTACTTGTCATCATATATAAATTTGTACTACATTTGCTTTGTTTAATAAATGTTTTAACTCTCTTTATATTGATAAGTAAAATTATCAAACTAAAATATTAGTTTAGAAAATAAATCCACATTTTTTTATTTTAATAGTTATCAAAGTACAGTGTAATTGTACAACTAAGGAAATTCAACCAACAATGTTTACTTGATAACTTCAATTTCAAAATAAAGTATCAAGTAAAATATTTAATATACAAGGTATAGAGTATACACAAATTTACTACACAAAGTAAAACCAATTACACGGACTTAAAATTGGTTATTTCACCGGATCAGGCCTAATAATCTACCCGTGGTATACCGTAGAATGCAAATGAGCGATAAAAACAGGAGACTCGAAGATTCTCCTTATGTTAAACTGCTGCTTTCCTATCGTCGCCGATTCTATTATGGCCAATTATTTTTGTATACCGTAGTATACTATCACTTGCTTTGTGGCATCTTCCAAGTGTGTTGCAAGTTTGTTAACTCAAATTGCCTCAATACAGACAGTTTCTTTGAAGATAGGAAGGAATTTTTATTAGGTTATTGTACTCACAAAAATCAAACTTTATTTGAAGTAACCTCTATACATTCACAATAAAGTCTATTTGATCAAAATATATACAGTTTAAACAAACACTATTATTTTAATGACAATTTATAAATATACATTACAGTGTAAGTGTGTGAGTACATACGTTGATGTAAAAATAGGATCTAGATGTGTGCCAATCACGTACTTAATTTTGTTTAGATATTTAAATTATCTCCTGTAAATTTAAAGTTATAATTTTCAAAAGTGGATATCACCAAAATTATTATTTAAAGGTAGGTGTCTCATTTAAGGTCGTTTTAAAACGTGGACACACCCAGATGCAGTTATTTTAAGAAGTTGTTGTTTCAAATAATGAAAATTTTTAGAAGTGTTCATTTTAAGAAATCTTCATTTTAAAAGTGGTCATGCCATTATAGGAAATAGCAGTAGAGTTCGTTGTCAAAGAGCTCGTCCAGGGAAGTACTGTCACCTTGACTATGTCTGCCGCATGCAAGCATTACTGCGTTCCGGTTTTGAAGGGTAAAGGTACTGGCGAAATTACAGACACATGGGACTTGTCAACTTATGTCTCAGAGTGACGAGCGCATTGGCAGTGCCCTTGCGATTTAAACCTCTGAACGGCACTGAAAAGAACTGTTATGTACAGGCATGTCGCTTATCACCAGGCGCACGGCATGTTCGTCCCGTCACTTGGTATAATACCAGCTTGGTATTATAAAAGTGTGTTTTTTTAAACTTGGTAATTCTTAGTAATCTTCACTATAAGACGGAATATGGTCGTCAAAAATCACCAAGATGGCTTTATAGGCCTACTAAATATATAGGCCTACTCTGACACATTTTCACTTTCTCTAAAGCCGAATACAGATTATTTTCAACACTACATGCAATGCAACGTTTCCCCACACATTTTAATGTGTTCGCGAACACATTGCACGCTCTCTACGCGCATGTTGTTGTGTTATGTCGATTGTCGGCTTTTCGACAAACAGTTTGAGTGCGAGTAGATGTCGCGTTGCATCTTGCGTTGCAAATAATCTGTAATCGGTGTTTTAGGTGAGAGTTTAGTCAAGCGCTTTTCGTTACTATTCTCAATAATTGCCGTATAATTTTGATTGCAATCTAAATAAGATGTACGATTGATCTCATCTTTCAACAACGAACACTCTCCATTAATTGTCGCATGCCTACGTTTTTATAATATGAATACATCTTCTTGATACAAGACACAACTTAAGACATTCAGGGCCATTCCAAAAAAAACCTAACACCCGTTACCGTTCTTGCAGTGCCCTTTCATAAACTTCTTTTAAATAAATTTAAAGTAACAACTGAGGGAGAGGTAAACGTAGTATTTAAAGTAGAATGCTGTCTTCGGTAGAAAGAATTATTTAAATGATAACACTTAAACGACAAAACAGCAAAAGTTTGTGAGATTCTAAGCAGAAACGGTGATGTGTTTTAAAGTTTTTTACTTTGATAAACAAATAGTAGAAACAGGGGTTTAAATAGTAACTGAACCGGAAAGAGTTATCGCGTAGCATACAAAAAAAAAACTTAAGACGAATTGAGAACCTCCTCCTTTTTTGAAGTCGATTAAAAATTGGTTTCGACAATCGCGAACTCAACAATATGATAAAATTTTAGAAAAAATGTTTATTAACAGACGATGTGTGATAAAAAATTAAATTCTAGGGAATCCCACGATAAAATGTGTTCCAGGAAAACCAAAACTTTATCACAATATATTATCAACACTTTTTTACTCCACAGGCATATTTCGATACTTCGGGAAAGAAAAGGCGTAAATGCCAAGAGAAAAAGAAATCATTATACCATTTTCGTTCGTTACGTTAACATTCAAGATTTTTGCAAAAAACAAATCTTTTGTGTAAAAAAAGAGCTTGAAAATCTAACTCAACTACAATAATAGCTCATCCAAACTAATATTAAAAATGCGAATTCACGCCTAAACCGCTGAATCCATTTTGATTAATTTTGGTTTAGAGATGGGATCTAGGACAAGGACATAGGCTACTTTTTATCACAAAAATAAATCTTAAAGCGGGTTTAATAGCAGATAGTTTGTATGGAAAACCAATAAAACAATTGAAAATTAGTATAATACAGTGGGCTACTAGAAGTACTTATTCTACGCAGACGAAGACGCGTCCATCAGATAGTTCTTAATAAATTGGCTTTTAGGCCCCTTCTTCCTCGAAATATCGATTTGTTTGTGGTACAACTATTTTGATTAGGTTCCTTGTTCGATAACCGGTTTTATATATAACATACTGTACACATACTGGTGTAAATACAGAGGCATAAAAGTGACGTTGCATGTTTTTTTTTTCAAACAGACACGGGTAAATAATCTTCTTGCTAAATGATATTTTTGTCTAAACTTAGTCAGACGTACAATCTTAATCAAGAGTTCAAAAGCGAACATTCTCGATTAATTTATTTCTTCATTAATAGGAACACCAACAGCATGTATATTAAAACATTTACATCAATTTAACTATGCGTGAACACGGTTCTGACACATAAACCAATTACAGGTGTACATATTCAAGCATAAGTGTCAGGAATAGCTGCTTATTCAAGAGAAAACGACAAGCTGTTGGGGAGTAGGCTCTGTTACGTCAATAAAGCAGTTTTAGTAGCAAGCAGTAGGGTTCCTTTTGAAAGACTCAGGGTCGTATTCCAGAACTCTACTCAAGGCTCAAGTCAGGACTTGAGCAGACTTGAGTATGATTTCAAGCACTGGAAATACGACCCTAATGGCAAGGACTTGAGTATGATTTTCAGTGCTCACTGCAATACTCAAGTCCTGACTTGAGTATTGAGTAGAGTTCTGGAATACGACCCTAAGACTTTTGAAGTACTGTGAGCATTACTGCATTCCAGTTTCGAAGGATTAGGGTGCTGGTGAAATTACAGGCACATGGAACTTTTCAACTTATATCTCAGGGTGACGGGCGCAATGACAGTGCACCTCGGATATTTTTGATTTAAAGCTCTGAGTGGCACAATAACTGTTATGGACAGGCGTGTCGCTTACCATTATACCACATTACCGATTTTGATGCTTGCTGAATATTTTCATCAAATTTAAATGGGACCAATACGGAGGTACCCTCCTTGCAACAAAAAAAAAAGAATCCTCAAAATCAGAACATCATTTATCTAACCGACGGTTTACATTTTAATAATTGACGATCACTCAACAGTTAATACTGTAGGCACCAGACGAGAGGGTCCCGGGTTTGGTTATCCGGCAGCGTCAGTTTGGGAAATTAATTTTTTTTATTGGTTGTGGTATACGTGTACTGGAGTGAATTTCGTTGCTTTAGTGCTTACATACTTCCACGGCCTCGGTGGCCGAACAGTTATCATACTGCTCTGTCACGCAGAGGTCCCGGGTGTGATTTCCGGGCCGGGAGAAGTATTTGTATGGGCAACATTTATTTCTATCGCGAGTTAGGGTGTAATTTGTGGTTGTCTATGACACTCGCCATAGGTTTTCCGCGCGCGCGGGGCTATAAACGTGTGCATTATTATTATTATTACTTACAGTACATGAAATTCCATAGTTTGAGATCAGGTATTTAATGTGATTTCCAGACAGATCATTTTTACATGGCGAACGAAATTTTTTGTTACGATTTTGAAAATATTGAAATTTGTTATCATAAAGTACAAAGCCGGTAAATTAAAATAAATATATAAAAAAAAAAAAAAATACACCCTGTATATGTTAAAACGTTTCACGCACAAAATAACAAGATTACTATTATAGAAGGTTATTGCACCTTGTGACATTGTAAAGGTGGTCATAATTCCATAAACACACAAAACACATAAACAAGACGTGCCATCATCATTAGGGTTGTCTACTACTTTTAAATTACAAGTCATGTGCTGCTCCCCATTGACATCATTCTTCAATGAGTTATTTCTATTCTATTTATGTTTCTCACCTTTAACATTTCACTAAAATAACTATAAATGTCGCCAATAGACCAATGCACGTTCACACTGGTGGGCGGCACGATTGACTTCTGGAGTGGGGGTGGAAGAAGCCAATTAATTAAAAAAAAGTTATACTGTTTTTACCATCTTTTTCAAAGAATTTTCCATACATATTTTCATTATAGTCTTTGTCTGTGACATTCAAGAAACTGCACTTTCGATTGTTTTCCAAAGTATTTACATTTTAATCAACATGTAGTTCAAATTTAGTACAGTACGGTTGAACTATTTAAGCATTTAGATCTTTTTGATACTAACTGTACAGGCCTGTGCTGGGGCTGGAAATGAAGACAGTTGTACTTGAAAGTTGCGTGTTCAACCTGGACTAACACTGCTAGGGTTTAATTGCTGAAAAACAAATTACTGTTTTGGTAGCCCAGCGCACTGCTAGGGTTTAATTGCTGAAAAACTGTTTTGGTAGCCCAGTGGACAGTATGTATTAGCGAGAAGGTCATAACTTCAATTTCAGGTAGGACCAGTTCGAGAAACGAACTGTTGTAAATTATTTCTGGTGTGGGTGGTCTAGGTAGTGTCTCAGAGTTAATTTCGTTGGTGTAAAAAGCAACAGAGAAATAAAAAAAAATTGAGGCAAAGAAAGAGTAATAAGCCTTATGAGTGTTTGCCAAAAAGCAAAGGCTTCCGTAGAACTTCAAAGACTCGGAATTATTATTTTTTCTTTTCAAAAGTGACAACCCTAGCTTCTTGTTTTAACAATACTTTAAAACACATGCATCAGTTTTGAACAACACTGATAATGATAAAACGGCAGTAATGTGGTTAATTTATTTCAATACATACAACCCCAAAGTTCAGTACTTATCATTTTAAAGTATACATATATTTTAATAATTTTTTAAATAAATGCTAGGAATAGAGCTTATATAATTACTACTTGAAATTGGGTAGGTAAATGGAGTGGAAATTTGAAATGCTGGCATCATATCCTTTTTATTCATCGTAACTTTAACTGACAACATACTGATAAAATTCAACTATTTAGATTCAACATTTGATATTTAATCATTATAAGCACTATGACACAAAGCAGTGACATTTTTATGTGTTGTAATAGAACTATTATGAGTATTGTCCATGGCCAGGTTAATGTTTTTCTACTAGACAAAACTGGCATTTTAATTTAGCATACACTTACAGACTTGAGGGTCATACATATCAACAGGTATTTCATTTTTACTATTGTTCAATTAACTATAGCTACTTTATTAACTAGACCTATTATTTGTAATGGACTCACATTAGTTAATGACAAATAATGTATTGGTAATCAACTTAATGGCTTCATAAATTGACAATAAAGTCGTTAGTGAAAGTAAATACGTATATATACGTGCAATGACACTTGTCTCTCGCTGGGGTTGAGAGAGGCTATGAACCTGCATTTCTACACTCCTGACACGAGGAGTCAACTATGGAATTTTTATTGAAGCATGTCTTTCAAAACAGCACTACCCTCTCATTTCAACAACAAAATTACATTGCTATCTAATATTTTTATATATAATTATTATTTTAGATCAGATTCATATTACATATTGATAGTTCAAGTAGGCTGTTTTTTTACGATACCAAGTGAAAGGACAAAGAAGTCGTGCGCCTGGTGGTAAGCGACACGCCTGTCGCAGTTGCAGTGTCACTCAGAGCTTTAAATCGCAAAGATCTCCTTCTTCCACTGCACCCGTCACCCTGAGATATATACACGCTGTAATTTCACCAACACCCTATTGCTTCAAAACCGGAATGCACTAATCCTCAGCTCACATTAATGTGTGACAGCAAAAATAGGTAAGGTGGCAGTATTTCCCTGGATAAACTCTTTCACAAGGAGCTCTATCATCAAAAATGAGTTTATGATGTAGTTTTTGGCTTAAATTCTCAAACTCTTGAGTAGATAAACATCAAAGGTTTATTATTCGCCAAAAATATTTAATTTTCCTATGATTCATCACATACATGATTAGTTTTACTTGTCTATTATACTTTGGCTTTTATACTCTTTCTACCCTGAAGAGTCAACATGTAACAGTTCTAAATATTATTATTATTATAACCTGTTTATCTTTAGTCATACCAGATAAAGTAAATCCCCATTGTAAAAAGTGATAGTTTTTAACATAAGAAATGAAACTTCGGTCACGGTCGACCGAGGTGATAAAGTCATCAACCAGTTTTGTCTCATATTATTACTAACTACCTTATTTTTCACTGTAGTTACAAAAGTTATTAATTATATATGTTATTTTTAAATTCTACAAGGAACATTGCAATTTATGCTGCATATGATTTACAATTGTTCTATTTTAACAATATTTTTTATTAAATTAAATTTATTATTAATTAATAATGGAATTACAATAAATTATAACATATTAATTAGTACTGCAGTCTATGTCCGATTGGGATTTTTCATCAAAGGAAATACTGGATCCCAAACTGGTTGTAGAGAGAAACCATCTTCCCTGTTGAAATTATGATATTTTTTAAATTTCAATGGCCTCTTGCAGCGTTCTGAGTAGAAAATGTAGGTTTGTTTGAAAAAACAAATACACGCAATTTAAAACCGAAAAATTCATTTCCTATGTGTAACAATTGCGAAAACCTAAGAACTTGATATGACAGTTTCTTGAACTGTGAATATTCCAATTTCCAATAGACCAGCTTGGAGGACTAAAGCCTAAAAGGAGATCCTCTCCTTCAAGGATACCTTTCTCAGGAGTGCAACTCCATTGATATTTGGTTTGAAGGTGTTTACCGAGTCATGGTCTATTTATTACCTTTATTTCATTTAAGCATTAACAGACTCCCTAAACAGGGTGTGGATAAAGGTAGAGAAACATATACACTGCCATGGAACCTTTCAAAGCAACAATCGATCCTGAAATTCCTTTATATGCAAAATAAGTGTAATGAAAATATGCCACATTGTTAAAAAAATTTAGTCAACTACCCTATAGTCATTTTCTAGGATCACATCATGAAGGAAACTGCCAAAATTGAGTTTTGAAAGGGAATTGTTCTTAAAAGGTAATAAACAGATTTTCCTTAATGCACTACTGTTTTAGGTGAACCTAACCACTGATTGATATCAGTAACCCAGTGTCTCAAGACTACATAGATGAAATGTTTCAATGTCTAGTGTCATTGCTAGTCTAGACAGGCAATGTTATGTTGGTGTCCTTGCTGCTATGCAATGTAATGTATGATGTGCCTGGAGGTTACATGTAGGTCCAGCTTAACCATACCTTCAAAGTATATTAAAGTAGTGTTAAGAAATAAATAAAAACCACATACCTTTATTTCTTTTCCTAATTTTACTGGCGTCCACAAGGTTCCAATCTATAGAATCCCTAGCAGGTGGTGGTACAGTGCCTCCAATGAGTTCCACCGAACTACTCCTGTTGCTCGGGCCTGGTTGAGGCTGTACATCCTCAACTTTGTCCTTCAATGCACTGGACACACTACACTCCACGATTTCAACACTCTTGTCCACATTGTTAATACTGCAGTGCCCGTTTACAGGCTGGTCGGTCCTTTGCTTTTTCGGTGGTTGCTTCTTGTGCTTATGAGCACTGAGTCGCCTCTTCAGCTTGGTAGAATGACTCGAATTCCGCGAACTTACTGGTGAAGGGCATCCACACTCCATACTGCCCTCCTGATCGCTACCTTCGTAATACCCTGATTCGTGCTCAGGTTTCTTATCCGGGACACTCATTTCCACAGTCGCCATGGTCAACCCACCACCAGAAACATGAAGGAATCAGCTCGAACTCCACTCAAGTGTCGGACATGGAAAAACACTCACAAACACACTGCCACAAGATCAATAAAGTAAGTCGGGCTTAACCCCAGATATTTAACGTTATGCTATTGTTTATTACACGAATGATTCAACTTATCAACTTCACAGGCGAAAGTACGACACGTAAGTACGCGAGCATTTTTGCGAGTATTTCGGAATCCTCACGAACTTCAAACGAAACAAACCATCAGCAGAGATGGCGCTTCGCTCGATTATTAAGCGGCCGAAACCAAAAGTCGTTCACAATCATACAAACGTTCCTATCAAAATGACCTTTGCATTAAAACGGGAAATTTCACTCGGGTCTACTTTCACACTGTTGAAATGTCAAAATTTTTAAGATATTTTCGTTGGGTTAGTTAATTAATGTACACAATTCCAAAATCACAGCCTTTTAGTCACTCTTAATTCTCACACAATGAGAATAATCCAATTTGTCCCGTGTCAGTACTTTGAATTCATTTGTCAACAGTCCTTCACGTCAAAATTCTGATTGTAACCTTTCACTATCACTATTTAGTCCATAAAAAATCCTTGTTACAAAAGACTGGCGCGAACGAGACGTAAACTCTCTCAGCGCGGAAAAATAACTGAAATTAGTCGAGAAACGCAAAATAGAAACCGTGCGACGTGCGAGCGGCAGCTTCCCCCACTACTCACGATTTACGAGGCCAGATAGTGCATGCAAAACTCAACGATAAATCGACTGCTTTTTATCGATTTAGAAATGTATTTCACTTTTGTTAATAAATTAAATGTCGATCATTTTTAATATCAGGATATGTTTTAGATATAAACCATAGAAAATTTTTATTTGCAATTGAAATTAATTTTTTATCTTCCTGATTTATCTGTCGTTTGCGCGTATACTGCCAAGTCTCCGTTTCATGGACGTAAATAAAAAGAGACAAAGCTATTGCTTATCGGTCAAATAGAGAGAGATGGCAATGAAAGAGTGTGACGAAAGTAGAATGAAGCTAGTCGTATCTCTTTCTCGATACTTTGCAGTGGCCGTGGCGTGGATCGTGGAATGGCCGAGTTGCGGCAAGAATTGAAGAATGATTTTGATTATGTATCTTTTACTTAAGTATACTTTATTAAACTTTCCATGTCAAGTTTAATTGACCTTTCACCGCTTAGCAGCTGCTCAGTTTACAAATTAGGAAACTGTTCTTTGAATTACTTAATTCAGTAGGTATGCGATGTAGGTTGTATTTGATTTATTTCATTGTCTATTTATTGACCTAATAATGAGCAGTGGCTGGCCTTTAGCTCAGCAAAAAGTCTAAAGCCTTTTTGCTCACAACACTAATCATTTATCAGTGTATCTATTAGTTCACTATAATTCCTCTGTCGAAAAATATTTGTTCAATAAATATTCACTTTCAAATTTTTTTAATTTGTTAAAAATCCGACTCGGTTAAATAGCTAGTGGTCTACAAATTTTGTTTATTTATTCTACATCAAACGTTTTACCTGTGTCAGCTTTTGTCAGCTACGAGTAAATATTTGCATAGAAAAGGAACTGACTTGCGCTACGATTGTTGTGTAACGATTCACATAACAAGTTAATAAATCTTTGACTGACTTATACAGAGTAGGTTTATGTGTAACAATATGCTTTTAATGTTGATTACGAAAATAAATACTCATACTAATTACTTTTACATGCTATAAGAAGTAAGGAAACTTATCGTATTCTATGTAATCACTGTATGTAACTATATATAGATAGAAGTACTTCCTTAAATATTTACAAGGATTAGCAGGTCATGAGCTCGACTTGTAGTTAGTCTAACTTCAATATGTTGAGCAAATATAAATAATTAAGAATAGGTAGTGTAACTGGGGCGTAGCTTGGGATGCGTAGAGAGAGGTACTTTTATGAATTTAAACTGGAATAATCTTCAAAATATACTTTATTGCACTTTTTTACATGCTTTCGGCGTTGGGTTATATTTCGTTATATCAAGATGCTCCATTCTTTTCTTACTTCATTTTTCAAAACACATTCTAATTACAAAACTATTCATTCAGCCAGTGATTCTACTCGTAGAGTAGAGCCTAGACTACAGTAGCAATTTTGTATTTTAACCTGTCATAACCAATTGAATGCGAATTTTAGTTTTTGAAATTCCTTTGTATAAACAACTGCTCAAATCAAGGATTTTTGCTTTAGTAAAATCGGTAAAATATGTTCAATATTCTTTAAGACTAGTACCCAATTTATTTATTACCTGTACAAGTAAGTACCTATTTAATGCCTATATAATATAGTATATGATGTAATGAACGAGGTACCTTATCTTTAATATTATTGGGATTCATTAGATTGGGTAGGTTGCGAAATTGCGTCCAATTTTATGGTTGTGCGATAATTAATCGATCATGAAGGCTATGGCAACTGTACGACGCGGAAGTTTGGAAGGCCAACGTCTGCAATATAAAATTTATAAGTAGATAGTTTGTCTAAAATCTAGATCTAAAATCTAAAATCTAGTCTAGAATTGCAGAAAATAAAGAAGATAACTTAGCGTCTCAATTTTGTTTAATACCTACCGTAAAAAAGTTGAAGTTGTTGCTTTGCTCTGGATTGTGATGCTAATCTAGCTACGTTTTTTATACTTAAACTACTCCTGAAAAATAATTTAACTTTCAATTTCTGCAAGAAACGAGAGAGTAAAAACTTTATTAAATACTTATTGAAAGCGAAAGCGTTTCTTCATAAGCGCACTTATCTCGAATGAAAAAAAAAAAGAATGCTGAGCCGGTGTCACTTTGATTTATCTGTAAATATATCTATATCTCTGTTGGTTAGAGTCCAAAACGTCGAATACGTTACAAAAAAAAAGAGGATTATACACAATCGCTACGTTTTGGCAACTTTAGCATACAGTGACTCTGCTTTATTTATAGTTAGACACTATCTACAACATACGCACAGATATGGAGTAGTCCAACAAGCAACCCCAATGCAGAGAAATACATTGAAGATTATTCTTCTTCTTTATAATGTCATAGCTCCATACATCCATCCATCGATACTACCGATGATTCCGCCAATGTCGAGTTAAAGAACATTTTTTACTCAAAATTTGACCGGTGATCATATTAAATTAAGAATTCCTTAAATAAAACAACGTAGGTGTGAATAAATAACAGCCACCTAATACTTCAAATTGATAATAAACCAAAATACTTACCGTAACCTATTTCGTGGCGAACCGTGTTGGCCTTTACAATAACCGGTGTCTCTTCAAATGGCTTGGTGTCCTGGTTTAATTTGTTAACATTCGCTTCATCTTTGGCTTTTGGTGGTAAGTCATCGAAATACTCGTCGAAATTGTTTTTATTGAAGAAATCAAAGTCTATAGCTGCCCGTTTCATTGTAGGAGTAGCACTGGTTGCAATGTCTACTTCGAACTGTAGCATTCGAGCTGGCGACATGAGCTCAGATACGGGTGATGGTTTCACAAATATCTCAGTATCATCTTTTTTGACAAGAGACAGCTGTAAGTTTCGTGGTTTGTGTGTTTTTGAAGCATTATCAGCAAATTGTTCCGAGTACTCTGGTGTACGTGTAAATTTTTCAATGGGAGGTGTTAGTGGAGTCTCCGGAGAGTCAATATTGGGCGTAGGAAGAGTCAGGACTGGCGTCCCAATGGAAGTTGGTGTGTCATCAACTGAAGTGTCTCTACCTCCCAATGTTATATTTTCACCAATAATTGAAAAATTATCCAAGCTCATCCGAAAAGTATCATCAGGAAGCTGAAGGTCTAAGTTTTCAGGAATAAAAGTTTGATTTGTATTCGAAGTTGATGCATCCTTTTGCGGAATATTTTCTGTATCCTTATTTTGAATTAAAGAAGTCTCCATATTAATTAATTATTAAATAACTCGATAAAGTCTGTATTTCATAAAAATATATTTATTGACTTAAACATTTAGCATACACAGTAAGGAGTATTGACAGGCGTCCTTGAAAGTATCTTGATAATCGATAAGCAACAAGAAGTTCACATCACTTCAGTCCTTACGCACACGTGTGCAACGCTAAGTTCGTGTGTGTGCACCGGTGAGCTGTCAAACTAGTTTCGCGGCATAGTTTTTCCTCCATTCGTTATTGAAATGAATCTTACAATAGGTACACTATATTGAACACAGAATCCATCGAAAATTCAAATTGACACACTAACACTATACATACGACTAAAAAGTATTTTATCGCCTTTACAAGATTGTCTAAAAATAGCTCGGTAAATCATCACTTGCACAGGTTTTGCCCGCTCTTTTTATTCACTCACAGATTCACTAAAAATAAACTAATTCTGTATAATACACGTAATAGATGGTTATTTATCATTGATTTAACAAGTTCTATGCCTGAAATGAGTCTGAGTATCTTAATTTAGCGTAGGAAACGCGAAATGCGGCGCGATGGCACAGGACACAACACAATACAACTACACGATGTAGTAAATGTCAACAAACATGGTTTCTTTCCGCGCCTTCGCATCTATTACGTGTACCGCTTAATGTTCCGACTAATTTACAATCGATACTATGAATATGTAGGTAGCTAACTATCCGACAGCTTTAACTTTGAGATAACGCTGGTTTCTCGAAGTTTTCGGAGAATATTATTTTTCTTCGTCCATTTGACGTTTCGTATCACTTGACGTTAGCCGACACTGTGTCTCACGCATGCGCCGTTGCAAAGCGATATCTAAATACAGCGGCTCTATGTGTATTTTCATGTGTGCCGCTTCAAGCCACGAGCGAGTTATTTCAAGGTCGTTTCAATAAAGCTTTAAAGGTATTTTATTAACCCTGCGTGATTTCTTCGTGTATTTTTTTATTTATTCACAATAGATGATTATTAAAATGAAAGGTAAAGTAAATAATGTAACAGCTTTATTAATAATTACATATATTAAGGGTAGTAACACGTAAGTTTTAAAAAGTTCATTTGAATTTTTTCTTTTTACCACCAGCGCCCTCTGAGTTTGCACTTTTACGTTTCCCGCCTTTTCTTTCGGCCATTTTGTTGCCATTAGTTTTCTTGATGAATTTTTTATTTTTGCCTTTTTTACTGCCTTTGTTACCTAGAATTTTCTTATTAAAGCCCTTTATCCACCTATCTCGCTTTTCTTCCCATGCCAATTGCTTTGTGCTGGAATTGTCTGTGTTAGACACAGCTTGGCTGGAACCTTGCTTCTTGTTTGTTGCAGTATCTTCTAAAAGCGTGGAAAATTCTTCTGCCGATGCGAATAGAGATCCAAGGTCGTCTTTTCCTGAAACAGAAACCCGTTATTAATACTTACTATAAATCACACGTTTGTAACGCAAATGAAATATAAGTGCACTGAACGTCTTCTTCACTATCAATAACAAAAGAAGCTGTCAATTTTCACTGCTCTTTATAAATTTTATTTGTGAAGCAAGTGTACGCCGTCCAAAATTAATAATACATCGACTAATTCATACACAACTAATTAGGCAGCTCTATTAAAGTCTTCTTTTTTACTGACAATGACTAGTGAACACAAATGCACTAAACTTGAATTTAGCTCGGGTTTGGGCAATCGGTGGCATTTTAAGAATGAATAATATTAATGAATCCGTGTCTTAATTTAATATTAAAATAAATCACAGAATATACTAGATTTTTAACATATTTTGGACCGCGAAATGGTACAGATCGAAGCACTTGTTTGTTCCTACTGTCTTCATTTGAGGTTTTTCAAGCAGTGTTAATGGCTTGTATAATATATCATGAATAAGTTGGTCGACTTGTTGCTAGTTGTGCCTCACATATTCGTGGTGTTAGTAAACGAAATTAAACATCAAAGCAATTAACAATCAAATTTCATAAGCGCTCTGATCAGTAATTTTCAGAAAGTATGAAAAGAAATAACGTCACTGACTTAATGAGTAATTACTTTCGATAGTGATGAGTTAAAATATGTTGCAAGCGGAATATTCGGACGCAAAAAGCAGTATTTTTCTACTTCTAAGTAAAACTTATACGCGCGTATAACTGTGAAGAGGGATCTTGTAGGCATGCAGGGTGGAGGTGGCTAGGGCAGTGATTGTATGAACACTGCGCTAGGTACCTTCACGTTTGGATTCCACTTTCCATTTAACATCAGATGGAGTGGAGTCATCTGCCTGCCATGTATATAAAAAAACTCAGTTTTTTGCCAGACAACCATGCTTGCCTGGTCTAAACTAGGGAATTTCCTTCCCAGAACACCTACACAGGAAACAATTTAGAAAAGTTAATTCCCAATTCCCGGGACCTCTTTGTAAGAAGTACGTTCTGCGTACGAAAGTATGTAATGTTTTCTTACGAATATTAGCTACCTTTTAATTTAAGTTTTGTTTTTCCTTTTCCTTTTTTGCCAGGAACCTCAATTTGATCATCATCGTCATCGCTGTCTTGCAAAAGCAATTCTGTAACAAAAAAAATGATATGTGTAAAAGTTACTTAATTAAAAACTTACATAATTAATATAATTTTTACTGCTCCTATTTATATATATTCATTTTTAAGTTGACACTTTATAATGACATGTAAGTGAAATATTTAAGAACAGTTTCTATATTTTAAGTTGGAATTATTTTATAGGATTTATATTTTCATTTTTACAATTTTTCATGACATTTTTACGTTGTTTCTTCTTTGTGTGATAGGAGTATGTACGGGTCAACGTACGTTATTGTGCAACTGAAAATGTGCAACGTTGCACTGGACATTGGGCACGTCCAAAATTTATAAATTATAATTTTTAGTACAATAAAGTGACTTCGTGGTATCGGTCGAGTATTATTTCTACAGCATCTTTAACATCTCCCTGCATCATCTCGCTGATATCACCTGACATATTACTGTACGAGACAAGCAGCTCGTTGCAATGCCATTGAGAGCTTTAATTGCAAAGATCCGAGATTTTTCAATTTGACTGTATTTTATGTATGTACACACGCCAGCACATCAAGCTACACATTGACGTATCTTGTTCCGTTGCACTGGAGGCGATTTTTGAAAAAAAAAAAAAAAATGTGTAGTCTGATGTGCCGTTGTCCGTAACTATGTTACGCGATAATTCGATAATTTGTTAACCGATTTTGAGGATTCTTTTTTTGTTGGAAAGAAACTTCAGTGCTGGTCCCATTTAAATTTGGACGTAGCTAAACAAAAAGGGTCCAATGAACATCTAGTCACTTTCGAGATATGGCAGTTGGAAGTTTAAAAATGTTTCTCATTCTTGTTTTATTTTCAAAACTTATAATGTCTTGTAACTCCAGAGATATTTATTTACGTTTTAAAGTTGGATTATTTTTTCTTGATCTAAGAGAATCATTCATCAATACTTTAGGAACCGTTTGGTACAGAGTCAAGAGCACGTCAAGCTTGACACTTAAAACATACCCAACTCTATGCCGCTTACGATAAGATCAGTCCCAAGTACAAAATGTCAAGCTTGAAGTGCTCTTGACTGTACAGAGTGACTCATTTTTGTATAATTTTGTGGATTGGATCCTTTTTGCTTAACTTCGTCCATTTGAAGAAAATAGTGCACTGTCGCGCACTTTTCGGTAACCGATTTCAATAAAACTTGGCAAATAGATGTAATTCCACGAACTTTTGACGTCGGTTTTGGGGTCCCGATTGTGTTAGTTTATAGAAAAAACCACTTGTAATTCCATGGAGACTCTACTGATATCATATTGCAATTATGATAATGTTTTGTTGTTCTGCTAAAATCTAGTTGCAATGGCAGTTGATGGTCTATTGAAATAATTGAGATTGACTGTTACGCCTGTGTATAACATTCTTACCATCTTCATCACCAGAAAGTTGAGGTTCATCCTCATCAGCGGATATATCAAGATCACCATCACTGCCCCCCTCGTCGTCATGATCACTCCCAGCTTCGTTAATTTCATCACCATCAACGTCGCTATCAAGCTGATCATTATCATCGTCAGATTTCTTCTTAGGTCGTTTTTGTTTAGTCGCTTCCATGTCTGCTAGGTAGTCTAATTCGTCGTCTGAATCGCCTGTACAAAAGACAACAACATTTTAATGTGCTTTCACTCCTGGAATCACGGTCTTGAAAAGAGATTCGACACTGATGTTTTCAGTCTCAGGAAAAGCAAGACTTTTGAGACTTGGTACCATAATTACAAATTTTTTTTTGAGTACATGGTTATGGTAATATAAAATCAGGTCCTGGCATAGCGCCTGGCACGATTTGCTGGGAGACGTTGGTTCTAATACAACAGGATCGAAGTGAATTATAAAACAAAGATAGAACATTTAGAAAAATTGGATAATAATTTAAGAAATATTAATCATTATATACAGAGCCTTAAGAATTCCGGTATTGTATAGAATGTCTAGGTATTCTATATAATACTTAAACTACACACATTGCCGTTAACATTACACATTTTTTGTTTTATTTCTAAAAAAGGATGGTGAAAGCTGCTCCACTAACGACGAAGAGCCGTTCATGGCCTTTGCATAAGTATAATTAAGCGTTTTAGTTTATGCCTAGTAACCAATATATTTTTGTATAATTTTAAAACCCGAGAATAAAAAAAAAAGTAAAACATTGTACTGTAGAATAGATGCAACAACACAACGCAATTAATTCAGCTCGACCATAGATTAAGTTCAACATTCTTGTATATATGTTTCTTTTTAAGCATGATTAAATGTTTACCTGCCTGAAGTATTGGTTATTTTATAGTACACACATAAAACATTAAAGCTATGAAATACCTAATGAAATAATCAAACAGTAATGACATAAAGCAAACAATAAAATACAATGTGACAAAAACATTTAGACAATGTTTAAATGAGAGATAATGAAAATTGCAAAGGAACGTTTTGACAAAACGAAGTGCGACCATTTGCGGCAGATTTCTGCTATTTGGGTAATTTCATTTTTATTCATTTTCATTGATGCAGAACATGATATTATAAGTTATATTAAATGTGGCAAGGTTTGGCAGATTTGGGAATATTCGGGAAGTGCTTTATTAATTTTGGGAACAAAGTGAAAACTTGTTGTTTTCTGCTACTATGAACACACATGTGAAGCGAAATACAGGACAATTTTATAAAGATAACCTAAATCAACTTTATAACCCCAGCTTCTATAGGCTGTACTCAATTAGCTCTTTTGATGCTTTGATAATGAATCACAAGTATTGATAGGTCTCCTTAATGCAGATCGTGAATATATATATATATATATATATATATATAAATATATATATATTGTTATATTTAAAGATTCTGGGAGAATTTCGACACCCGTAGCTCAGTTGGTAAGAGCAATACTTCGGTGTTGTAGGGTCGTGTGTTCCAAGTCCGAACGGTTCGAAAAAGCTTTTCTATGTGTTCGATCGTTGTATTAATAATTGTAATAAAAACTAGTGGAGTTATTTCGCAAAAAAATTCAATAATACTTTTACTATACGTAAACGTTACCTTGAGCTGCGGAACCGGTTACGGTATCGAGGTACTTCTCAAAGTCTTCGCTGGTCACAGAATCCTGGTCGCTGTCCTCGTCAGAGTCGTCTGCATTGCGGCGGTTTTGTAGAAAACTGTAAATTTAACATTATTTTGAGAATCTCGTGGCGTGACCGGATTACAAATTCAGAAGTACTCAATAAACTGAAAAAAAGATGGAGCTTATGAACTCCATTAAGTACAGGAAGATGTCGTACTTCGGCCACGTCATGAGGAACAATAAATACAAATTACTCCAGTTCATCATCCAAAGCAAAATTGAGTCAGGATTGCCATGATGTTGTCCGATAGGAGAGGAACCAAATAAATTTGTACAAATGTTTATTTACAAAGAGCAACCCCGAGAGTTTCTTCCTCATTCTTCTCAGGGGAATCTGGCTTACGAATGAGTAGAAGAATTTAATCAATATTACGATTTCAAGTGTGTGGCTTGTATGTATGTATGAGCCCTGATGATGCCCTTGTGGAGATTTAGCACTTCTTGACGTATTAGGAAATCTGTTTTACCGTAGCTTCATAGGTGTATGTTAATGCAAAAACAATTTTCCTTACATTTTTGTGTTTCTTTGTTATAAAAAGCATATAAGAAAATTTTGACATTTGGGAGTTGATGCTATCTCAGTTTGAATCCAATTTTTTTCCGTACCGTATCAGCAGCTAGATTTTGATTG